TTTTCTAGTTTAAGAAAACTAGTACAGACCACTCATAGAAGCTAAAGTATCTAAGACCCCAGTTCTGCAAATCTTTCCCTTACTGAAAAGGCAAGTTTCAGCTCATCAGCATTATATAAACCCTCAACAACCTTTTGTCTGACCTTAATATAGGGTATAAAGCCCCTCTCAGTCATTGCTATAACCACCTTTCCTGCCAAAATATACTCACAACATTCCAAGCATCCTTCAACCACTAACTCATAGCTCTCAAACCCAACAGGGTTACCTTCTCTCTCCAAGAATTCAATCATCTCAATAGCTTTCCATATCTCTCTATTTGCCCGTAAAGTTGCCAACACTTTCACCACTGTTCCCTGCCTCGGTGTCAATCTAGCTTTCTGGACCATTTGCTTCATTAACTCCACCGCATCAACTGTTTTTCTAAATGTGCACATTGCAGCAATTAAACCAGCATAGCTCTCCAAATCAGGAAGGGAACCGGCTCCACTCATACCCTTCAAGACTTTAACTGCCTCCTCCAACCGATCAACAGCACAAAGAGATGATATAAGGTAATTGCACATTAGTGAGTCAGGACAATATCCGATGTCTTGCATCTCCATAAGGCTATCAGAAACAGACTGAGATTGGCCTTGGCAGTTAAGCCATGCAGAAGAAAGGAGGAGTTTGATTTGCGGAGCAGGGAGACAGCCAGATCGAAGAGTGCATTGAAGGATGGCAAGCGAAAGAGGGATGGGGTGGGGACTTTGAAGAGTGTCCGAAAGAAGAAGATCATAGGCAATGCGGAGGCGAAAGCGGGGCCTAATAGATTTAAAAGATTGTAAAATTTCATCAATGATTTGGGTTCTAAGCTTCAAAGGGAAGGTGGAGAGAAATGAGAAAGGATTCGGAATGAGCGCAGCTTTTTTTACAGCAATGAGAATATCAGGAAGTTGTTTGTAGGATTTGGCTTCAACAGCAGCTTTGATGGTTTCTTCAACGGAGTGTAATGAAGAGATTGAGTGAATTAAAGAAGAGTGGAAAACGCATGGATAAAGATTAAACAGAGTTCTGTAAAGATTTGTTGGTCTAGTTGCCATTTTCGGGTTTATGACATACCAGTGCTAGTAAGAGTGTCCAACCTGGAAGGAATGAATCATGCAAAACAGTTAAATAAAGAAGAAAATGGAACAGGATATTTGGGATATACTTATAATGATAAACTTTCCAACATAACTATGCTATGCTAATACCAAATAAGGCATCATTTTCAGGATTAACAGTGAAAATTCAAGGAATGACAAATATGAGTGCGAATTCAAGCTTCATTGGGTAAACCCAACCTTCCCAAACTCTAATTTGCTGTAAATAAGGACCCAACGTTGCACTAATTCAGTTTCCATAACTTTTTATACACCAAAACTTAAAGAGAAAAATCGAATTTAAGAGAGGAAGATAGCGAGGGAGACCTGTTTCATGGAGTCCGCGATCGTCGCTAGGAAGAGGGTGGCTCGGAAAGTAACAGTGGAGGAAGAGAAAGCTCCGGTAAAGGAGAGCCCCCGCTCGTCGGCGTGGAGGAGGATTCTATTGGGGTTCACCGGTGGAATTGAACGTGAGAAAACTAAGCGAGGGGGGGAAGGCTACTCCCTCCATAATATTTTATTAAAATAATAAAAACTTATATTGTCATCTTAATATTTTAATTAAATAGAACTTAGAATCAAAATTATAAAAAAATATAAAATAAAATAACCAAGTTATAGTATAAACTTATAATAAAAATGAATTTTAATAATAAAATACAAAACTTTGAAGTGAAATATCCCATCTCTCTAACTTTTAGACATAATTACAAACAAACCAATTGATTTTCGAAATGGACGCTCCACAATAAGAAAATTCATCTGTTAAACACATAAGTTCAACTATTGATCAACTATTAGTACTTTAATTTGTTTGATAATTTAAATAATATTAAAAAAATAATTTTATTTTTTAATAATTTTAAAAATTACTATTATATAATATTTTTTTACACAAAAAAAAATTCAAGGGAGCATTGAGAGGAGCAGTGATGCTCCCAAGGGAAGAGAGCATTGATCTCCGATCGGAGGGAGCACCAAATCGATGCTTCCAAGGGTGCTTCTTTTCTTGGGGAGCACTTGTAGTGGGGTGGTCAAACAGCGAATGGGAGCGTTGTCGATCAATCACATTATTTGAAAAAAAAAAAAATATTTTAGTTATTTAATTATTTCTGTTAACAGTGTTTACATTCTTAAAATGAAGTATTCATTTTAAAAATAAATGAACTTGTTTAAAGATATAAAGGTATTTTACCCAAAATTTATAAATAAATCAACCCATAATAATGTATCACCATTGGTTTCAATCTCATCCTTGTAGCTCTCAATTTCACTATTAAAGTTACAATCTCATGGTCACCATTATCAATTTCAACTTTATGTCGTGTAAGCCCATAATAAATTATATTTATATAGTTTTCAAGAAAAATATTAACTAAAACATAACCATCATCAACTATCTTTAATACTTTTACATTTTTAACAAGTTATTAATTGATGTCATAATTTTAATAGACTTGATGTGTGTCCTTGCAAACTAAAATAAAGTCTGTGAATTAATATATTTTGTAAAAGAATTATAATGTATTATTATTATGAAATCTTCATTGCATCAAAGCATTATTCTTACATTGTTCATAGTGGATGTTTTATCAAGATACGCTATTGATAGAAATTGAGAAATTATCACATGTTATGTTTCTTATTTGTGAAGTAGGCAAACAATTTATAAATTTAAAGTATGAAAATACTTGAAACTAACATGTAGATGTTTGTTAGAAAAACAAGTTCATTGAACATAATCGTCTCTGAGAAATGCATTTGGTAATTTACTATAAGTATTTTTTAAAATATATTCTCATGTGTTAGTCATGTAAATGATTCTTAAATTTGATATCACCAAATTATTTGATATTGATATTGTTATACTTTGATATCATCTTAACTAGTCTTAGCTAATAATGTAAAATTGGATGAATATTCGATATAGCATGAAGAACATGAAGATAAACGAATGGTCAATAAAAGATACATCATCCTAGTGATTTGAGGAAGATATCTCATAGATACTTAGCATGTTTTTTTTTTTTTTTGAATAGCAATACTTAGCATGTTTTAACTCATGCAAATTCTTGGTCAAAGTCGAATCAAGATTTAGAATAAAGGTTTTTTGAATTTCATTAAGAGTCAATAGCGAGCATTAAGAACTAAAATGATAAAGAAAAAAATTTATATAGAGTAAATACTGAATCATGATATATGTTTTATCATGATGTTGAATGATGAGAAAGGAGTTACACTAAATACTAAACATTGAAAGGTTAACCACTATGACTCTTTTTTAACATTGAGATAGCCATGATACAATTTTAGATGTCAATTTGGATCTATAAATAAAAATAATCAATTTGGGAAATTGAAGATAAATGCAATTGTGTTTTAATTCATCTAATGCTTTTCGGATTAAGATTATAATTCATATTTACAGCCAACATGTTAAGTAGTAAATGCATCACACACGTTAAAAAATGATAATTGAGAATGTAAAATGTGAAATTAAATTGAACTTAATTGAAAAGGAAAATTTGAACTTCAAGAACTTAATTGAAAGAGTTCAATTAAGTAATAACAATTTTATAAAAGGTAAAAAATTATGCTAGTCCAACTATGATTAAGATTAATATAATTGCCCAAAAATATGTCTTATTTTATATATGGAAAATACATATTGCTCTTAAAACACTTGAGAGAGAGCTAAGGAAGAGACTCGACAATCTTAACTTTCTCTAGATATCGGTGTCGCCCCACTTTTCCATGGGTATTGATTTTACCTCCTCCCCTTGAGTATCAGCAACATCACCTCCTTTTCTTCCTCGCTTTGTGGTTTTGAGTTTGTAACACATGTAAAATGTCCTTTGTATTACTATTGTATGAAGGAAAAATGCTATTAGCACCAACCTTATATTTTTATATAAAATGAAAAAAGGTAAAATAATCAAATTTTTTTTACTTTTGATCATAATTACACATGAGTCAATTAGTTTTTAAAACAAACACTTCGTCTCAAATATGTAAACGATGTTAATGATTAAGTATGAAATGTTTAAAATACCTTTATTACTTTTTCACTCTTTTAGGTTTGCCAACAATGCTCTCTTACTTTGACTGACAATCCCAAGGGAGCACTAGATCTAAGGAGTGCCAATCTAGTGCTCCCTATTAATTTCTTCAGGAGCACCATCCTAGTTGGCGAGATAGTTTTTTTTTTTTTGAAAAAGTTATAGTTTAGTAATTTTTAAAATTAATGAAAGGTAAAATTATCTTTTCAATATTATCATGTTATTAAATTAATAAAAATATTAACAATTTGATTAACGATTAGAGTAAAATCTATGCTTTTAAAATGAAGTGTTCATTTTGAAAATTGATAGATTCACATGTAATTATGGTTAAAAGTTTAGGAAGTTTATGTATTTTACAAAAAAAAAAAAACGAGATGAGAAGGATATTAATGAGGCTTGACCTCCATGTAGTAAGAATAAATGTGGGAATGGGTTAATTTATGCACTTGGAATGTCCATTGTTTCTCTTATATTGTAACTACGTTATTGGTTAATGAATGAAATACACCCTCTTCCAAGAAAAAAAGTTGAAAACTATATAAAAGGACAGCATTAGACCTAGAAATGATTAGGTTACTACAAGCAAAATCAAATGTTTACATTACACATTAAAGCTTAAATTATATATTTATTCAGTTAAAATTTAGTACAAAAAATTCTTGAAATGAAATTAGAAGAAAGAAGAAAGAGTAACAAATAGTGAAAAGGAAATTAAAAAAAATGAACATGGGTAATTGGATTCATAAAAAAATGAGAAATGAAAATTGTGGACACTAGACCCACACTAACCATACTCCCCATTTGCTCCTCCAGAAGTTAGTTTATCCACTCACCCTTTCTGTGGCCATGCAAACCCCTTCACTCTCTCCCTCGCCTATTCTCTCCTCTCGCCATGTCCACAGCTTTCCACCCTAATTACCATTTCATCCCTGCCCCTACCCCTGCTCTCCGCGGCCGCAGCCGCCGCCTCAATCTCCCATCGCCACGCCCAATTCTCCTCCGCGCCAACAACCCTCCGTCTCTTGGCTACCGTTTCGCCCGTAAACAATGTAGTAGTAGCAGCATAATCACGTGCAAAGCGACAGAAGTGTCTTCTCTGAGCGAAGAATCAGCGGCGTCGAGCGGTGGTGGTGTTCAGAACTGGGTGCCGGTGGTGCCGCTGGCAGCGCTGCCCAAGGGAGAGCGGCGCGTGATCATTCAAGACGGGGAGACAATACTGTTGCTTTGGTATAAGGATGAGATTTTCGCTATTGAGAATCGTTCGCCTGCTGAAGGAGCTTACACTGAAGGCTTGCTCAACGCCAAGCTCACCCAGGTTCTTTTTTTCTCATTTACTCTGCCATTTGCATCCCTCTAAGAACTGGAAGTAAGTTCATCGCAATTTAAGTGTCAGGTTCAGTCATGTGGAATTCAAGTATTGTAAGAGCATGGCACATAACATCTGTGTGAATGGGCAACAGAGATTGGGTTGAAAAGGTAATAGAAAGGGGTGAGATTTAGGGGATTCCAGCACGATATCTCTACTCATTTTCAGGAGTTAGTGAACAAATTATCTCAAAATTTAAGCTAGTAGTAAAGATCCTAACTTTTTATATGTAAGTTCTAACACTGCCCTCAGATGAAGAGGGTCTTTAGGAGAATTGAGAATTGTGTGTCATCAGCTTTATGCTCTGCTATGCAATGCCCATATGTCTTCCACATTGTCTAAATCGTTTATAATTGAAGGGAGTTTACAATAAACTCCACAACTTTTGGTATTGAAAGAAAATCTGTTGTCTGGCTGGGACAATCGTTGCTGGTATGGCGGAAAAAGCCAATCCAAAGTGCATTCCTTTTGTCTCCTGTTGGTGAACACTGATTCGCTGGTAGTGGGCTTGATTATTCAGTAAATTGTATTGTCCAGAAGCCAAAACAAGATGAAACACCAAAACTGTCTAGAGGCAATAATGCTTCTCTGTTGCTTGCTTGGACAGAGAAGCGGGAGGATAAAAGTACTTCTCTTTTGTACACTGTCATCTTTCCAAGTTGGAGACATTGTTCTTGGCCAATCAGTTGGACATCAGAAGAGGAAAATTTGAGACAACATGAGAAGTTATATAATGACAAAGAATTTGAACTTTTTCTTTTGTGCTGTTTCTAAGAACAAGTAGAAAATTTTAATTTTTACTATTCTCTAATTTCCTCCTTCCTGTCTTCCCTAGATCATTTTTTCATCTTCCCTACTTAGCTAAGCAATTTGATGGTGATTATCATCTTGACTTCTTTGGCGTTATACTTGTTTTATGTCTTCGTGGATCATGTAAGAATTTGTGACTATGATAGGCATTGACCCTGTCCAGGTCTTACAAGAATCCAATTCTTTCATCGGATAGAATACCTGTATTGATGTCAACTTGGACTTTTTATGTGGAACCTTTGAGTTCTCGAGCCCCGAAATCATCAACTTATAGTATTGCACTTCCAAGGTCTGTCACTTCATATCTGACATGCAACAATTATCTAATAATCAAATACCTTGCAGGTATTGTTTTATGTGAACGGTTCTGGTTTTTATTTTAATTGCTTTCATTTCATATACAGAGTTTTAGCAGTTGTAAATACCAATCAGATATTTTTACCTGCTCAGGAACATTAGAAACTTTTATGAATTTGGACATGAGGCTATTGTTCTCTGTAATTCGCAGCCTGCTTCCATTTGTGATATCTAGAATGATGGAAAGCAAAGTGTCTGATTATATTCTTCATTTTTCTTACAGGATGGTTGTATAGTTTGTCCAACAACTGATAGCACATTTGATCTTCGGACTGGAGCCATCAAGGAATGGTATCCAAAAAACCCGGTGCTGCGAGTCCTTACACCTGCTTTGAGGACATTGTATATCTACCCTGTAAAAACAGATGAAGAAAACATTTTAATCAGCATGAGAGGCAGTGCAAAAGCTGATGCAGCTGCAGAGATTGTCTTTAGTGGGAGAGCTCAACCTGGTGTAACGGCTACCGATGTCAATGTGGATGAGGTAACTACATTGCTGTTGTTTTTCAAAGCAAAAAAACATTCAGACATGGTAGAAGCATGAAATTGACTTGTTAGATAAATTTTTGCGTCTAATATTCTTTAGGTGAGAATGGTAGTTGATGAGAACTCAGAGGGGTTTGGTTTCACGGGAAAGAATGAAATTATAAATGGGAAGGCAGCTATCATCGGTTTCCTGCTGTTGCTGGATTTCGAGCTCCTAACCGGTAAAGGTCTTTTGAAAGGAACGGGCTTCTTGGACTTCATATATGCTGCTTCAAATGCCTTCAACTAGAATTACAATTACCATTTCATTCACAAGGGGGATATCTTCTCTTCCTATTCTCACTAAATTGTCATGTATAATCACTTGAATTCTCTGGATATTTGCCTAGAAATTTGACGACATTGATTGTTGATGATTCCTGATTAATATGTATAACAAAATACCAATTTCCATGAAACCAACAGCCTTATAACGTTGTGTTTAACTGCATCTTGGAAATGACTCCAAACAAAGGAAGTCTTCATGATGACCAGAAATGGTAGGTTGTGTATTCACGTGTGTCTGTGAGCGCACACGTTCAAATATATTGACCAACACTATACAGGAAAACACGTCCACATAAGAATAATACTACAAGCAAACAGAAGATGAAAACAACACAAACCAGTGGCAGATACTAGCATCAATGATGCAACAATGACAGTCTTAATGCAAAATTGCCCACTTCAGCATCAAATCGGGTGGGGGCAAACCTACATTGATATGCAAAATTACCGACTTAAGTCCGAATTGGATTCTTTAATACTGCGTTTGGTTGGAAAAAAGGAACAAATTTCTTCTTTCCTCAATAGTTTGGTTAAGTTAGTTTCTTTCTCTTCATCCATATAGACTATTAGTAATGTTTCTGATTAAGTTTAATATTGCGAATCAAGTGATACCATATCCCAGTAACCAAACCTATTAATATAGATTAATCTATAGGTTAGATTTAGCACTAAACTATACATTCAAAGTGAATGACAATACACATTTTTCCTTCTAATTCTAAGTCTAGTCTTGCTCTTTCTGAATTTGAGGTGTAACCCTCATTAATTCTTCTTATTGTTCATATAAGGAAGTCTAGGCAAGAAGCAGGTTAAACAATAAATAAGGCTGGATAATAATTGTTGCGCCCCTTTGTTAAGAATTTGTGAGAATCCGCTATATTATATATGTAGAGACTTGAACTTATATTTTGGGTTGACGTGATTAATATCACTAGAATCTTACACCTGTTGGTGTGATCTTAAAAATTTTGTGCAACTTGTATTAGGTTTGATTTGGACTTGAAGGCCCCAATGGGAAGAGATTAATATGACACCTTCAATCTTATATTCAGAATTTATGAAAATCCGTTATGGTATACACGTAGAGATTTGTATTTTGATAGTGTTTAGAGGACAAAATTGACAAAAATCCATATGATTTATTTATATATTTTCCATGAAAAGAATAATGCTACCAAATAGGTGTTTGGTACTATTCTTCATGGGTAATATTTCAAGATTGAAGAAGCATGATTTCACTTCCAATCCATGCATGACACATGCTGCGGAAAAGACCCATTAATCCGCCTGAGGAATCTTTGCACCGACTTGACCAGCACAAGGCAGATTCAAGCAGTCAATGATTTAGACATGATGAGCAGGTCGTCATCAAGGCTGAGTCAAGCAGTCAGAGCAGTGGAAATGTACATATAATAATCCTAATTATCCAAATCAAATCCATCTCAAGTCTTCAACCACATATGACATCAAGAAGCTAGATTCATCACATGGTGTGGAATTCTTTTCCAGAGAAGCCAAAGTTGAAGACAACTAAGCCCACCGCCATAAACAGAGACCAGTTACAGTCCCTACGATCTTTCAAATCCAATAGACTTTTGCACAGGACACGAATTTAAACCGGTTTAGATTTATGTTAATAGTATTTTATGTATTAATTATGTTGATATGATTGATATGGTTAAGATATGCGTAAATTATGTCTTATATTAATAGTGTTAATTGTGAATTACTCAAGCAATTATGTTGACATGTTATAAATTGTATAAATTTTAACTATGTTAATTGTGTTATGTTGTATAAAATTTAACCTGACACAGTTCGATAAATGTATTAATGCTATCGTGTCGTGTTACATATTTATTAAATATATTTATACATTTGTTTAAGATTTTAACATAATTAATTAATGGTGTCGTGTTCATGTTAACCTGTATAGCTTTAATATCTTATATTTATATTTATATGACACGATTAAGATATAAATACATGAATTATCAAGTTTAAAATTCAATGTTCACTTTTTTTCATTTTAAATTATCCTAAAATTATGCTTTTTTAACAATAAATTTAACTTATACTTTTGGTGATTTCATTTGTTTCGAATGGTATTTTGCAATATTTTCTTAATTAGCACTTTATAAATATATATATATATATATGTATATTATATTTAATTATCACTTTGTGAGTAAATTTTGTTCTCATAAGAGATTAAGTTGTTAATTTGGTCTCATAAAATTACAAAATATTTTGACACAATATTTTAAAAAACTTTTGAATTATTCAAAAATATTCAAATAATTTTTTAGTTTTTTATTGTGTTCAATTAAGTTTTTATACTTCTATTTTGAATCAAATAGACTTTTATAATTAATGATTGAAAATTTTGCTAATGAGATGCTAATTCTACTACGTAAAAATGTTGATCAATTATCATATTTCAACTTTGGTTACGTTTTAGAATTGTTATCATTAATTGAAAGAAAAAATAACGTATATGGAAAGAATCAATTAATGTTTTTCAATATGATAATTTATGACAACAATAACAATAAATTTATTATTATTGATATAATCAAGTAGAGGTGTTCATAAGACAAGTCGGACCAATCTCGTTAGAACCTCTAAAATTTAGACTTGAACTTGTTGGGACTTCTAAAACTTAAGCTTGAGTTTGAATTAGACTCGGTCTATATATTTAAATTTTATTTATTTAAATAAAAAAGTAAGTAAAATCAAAGGTTTTTTTTTGTTTTTTTTTGCAAAATAAACTCCCAAGTCCTAGACTATTTTTAAACCCAAAATTATCTCTTCTTTTCTTCTTTTAATTTTCGAAAGTCCAAAAGTTCATAGCCTATTAAAATTAATTGTCTTCTTTCTTTTCTTTTCTCCCTTCTGTCTCTCACCCTCTCTTTCCTTTTTCCCTCCCATAAAATCCTTCCAAAATAAGAAACCATGTCAAAAATGACCCCAATTTGGGCCAAACTTTGGATATAATTTTTTTACTTGAAGCCAATTCAAAATATTATTATGTTAATAAAAATATTTTTAATAATTTAATAATAAATTTAATTTAAATAAATAAAATTAAACGAATTAAATCCGAATTTACATCTGTCTTTTAATTACTATATATATATATATATATATATATATATAAGCATCTTGTATTATTTTATATTTTCTTTATGATATTATATGCTGAAAAACTATAATGTTGGACAATTTAATGGCCTAAATCTTATTAATTTTGGTGGGGGGGTTTTAGGACTAAAAACGAAGAGCTTGACTTCAATTATTGGAGAAAGAGTGCAGTGGGGAGGCTATTCACACACCAAAAGGACAAAAAAAACAAAGCCACACTTTTTGCTGCCTTCAATGTTTTCACACATCCTGAATTAGTCTACTCAACCTAACTCCTCTTGACTCCTTCTTCATACTTTTAAATAAAAACAATTTTTTTTTATTTCTTCGTATATTTATATTTATATACTAATTATAACAATTCATAACTAAATAATACTAGTTTAGTAACTTTTTAAAATTAAATTACGTGATTTTTAAAAATTTAAATTCAAATTATTAATATTGATAACTTAAAATTTTATACAAGTCTTAACAAGTACATTCATGTTTCATATAGAATAATTATATATATATATATATATATATATATATATGTGTGTGTGTGTGTGTATGTGTGTGTACACATCTAAAAAATTAGGACCTTATTTGTCAAAATTTAGTAATTAGGACAAGAAAGGATCTTTTCTTAGTCTTACTCCAAGTTGAAGGAAAATCCCTTCGTCTTTTTTTCCTCAATTCCATTGTGTTTTCATACTTCCATTCCAACTCAATATCTCTGGATTTTCTTTCTAAATACTTTTCAACTTTTGTTTTAACTCCTCCAATTTGTCTCATGTCATGTCTATCTAGTCTAAATATTACGGATCCTACATCATCAAGAAATGAGAAGTATCTTGGATATATAAACATGGATCTTCATTCATCTAATAGATGTGTAGTTAGTTCAATAGTATTCAAATCAATTTTATATTTTGAAATGATAAAAAAGAAAAAGACCAAAATTCAACTAAGTTTCAAATCTCCAATGATGTCAAATGAGTTTGAAAAAGAAAAACAATGAAAAAGGTTTTGAAAAACACAATTCTAGTCCAAATCTATTGATACATGTTCTTTATATATTGATACATTTGATAACTATCGATAGATTTCAAAATCTATCGGTACATGTTCTTAAAAAAAGTCAAAACTTAAAAAGTCAAACTCAATATCAATACACTAACCAATGTATCAATAGAAATGTAACAGAATGTCCATTACCTCAAAAATATTGATACATAAATAAATGTATCGATACATTTTAAGTAGAAAGTCAAAACCCTTCCAAGTAAATTTAAATATATTGATATGTATACAAATATATCGATACATCTTAATGAGATTTTAAAAATAAAAAAAAAAAATCGATACGCTCACATATGTATCCATACAATATGACCATTGAAGCTTTAAATGAAAAGAAGAACGGCTATTTTCACATTAAATGCTCTCCCAATTGCCTTTGAAGCTTCAACAACTATAAAAACAAGCTTCCTCAACATTAATTAAAGTTAAAAGGCTTCAAAACACATCTTAAGAGAGAAGAATCAGCAAAAACTCATTCAAAGCCTATTGTACTCTTCTCGAATCCTCAAAGTCTTATAGTTTAACATTTATTAAGCTCTCACCAATTCATTAAACATTGTACTGACTTCTTTATTTAGCCTTTAAGAGGCATATTAACCGCAATTTTATTCCTCTTGCTGCATTTTCTTAAGTGGTTATACCTTAACCAATAAAAAAGATAAAGTGGTTGTGCTTTAACCATAAAAGGACATTGTATTGAAAGGTTATACTTGATCCACAAAAGGTATTATATTGAACTTTGATCAAATAGTGAATTTCAAACTTCTTAGTGTATTTAAGGAAGAGGATATAGGCAAGAAGGCCGAACCTCTATAAAATACTTGTGTCAATTTTTCAACTTTTACTTTTACTTGGAATTTAAACTTCTCTCATTAATTAAGAAGTTGATTATTTTGTCTATCTTAAAATTGAGTATTTGAGTTGAAAAGGAGATTTTACATCATTAAAAATTCAAAAAGGTTCTTCAAAATTTCAAAATAATCCAATTCACCCCCTCTTAGTTTTATCTATATTAAGCTTATTAATCTAACATGTGTTTTATAAGTTAAAAACGTGGATCTCTAACAAATGATATTAAAGTAGACTCAAAAGATCGTCCAAGATAAACTCTTTATGGTTAAAGAGCTATTACAAAAAGGACATTGCACAATCACATCAAAGATACAAGGACTGTCCGAGATAGAACATTTATGGGTAAAGAGCCATTGCAATGAGTGCATTGCACAATCACATCAGAAATACAAAAATCTCTCTCTTTTACGGGTAAAAAGCCATTGTAACGAGGGCATTACACAATCACATGAGAAACACAAGGGTTGTCCAAGATAGACTCGAATTAGTGCAAGGATCTCTCTTTTTTTATAAGTAAACAGCCATTACAATCAAGCATTGCATAATCACATCAACGATACAAGGATCCCTCTCTTTTATGGATAAAGAGCCATTACAACGGAAGCATCATACAATCACATTAGAGATACAAATGTCATTCGAGGTAGACCCTAACCAATGTAAGGATCTTTCTCTAAAACGCCATTGTAACAAGGGTATTGTGCAATCACATTAGTAAATATATAAATATGAGTCTTTTTCTATCTAACAAATATATGTTTTGAGTGAAAAACGTGAACTCATGATACCAAACAAATACCATCTTTTTATCAAATTTAAACTGCAATTTCTGATTTTTCTCGTAATTTTGCAATTGATTCCTTAAATAATCGTCTTTGTTAATTTTAAGAAATATCTCATTTATTTTGCTGACTTGGAAAAAAAAAGGAAAAGACATTTTGGGTAAAGAAAGATTTGCTTACGTGTTGAACCAAGCTTGGCCTTTGACATGAAGCTTTGATTCTACTACGTCAAACCATTGGAGAAGCAAAAACTACTACAAAATACGACTAGCAATTTTCAACTTCTCTTTTTGTGCAAAAGTTAATTTCAAAGTTGATGTGCTCTTGTATTTGTACAAATGAGAACGAATATGATTTTCTGCTTTTAGGAATGTTAGTAGATATCTTATGATCAGTTATTTTAAATTATTTAATCTGATTAAATAGGATTAAAGTATTTTATAACGGATTCGCGTAGGGTTATGGTAGTGGTCTTAGGATACCCATTACTTGAATCCAATTATAAATAAAAATTTGAATATTAAATTTAATTTTATACATGTTATTTTTTGTTTATAAATTTTTTATAATTAGTGTGATATTTACTAAAATTCATTAATTGTAATAAATAAAATTTTAAACTTTAATTTATTCTTTTTATGAACTAGCTTTCATATATTAATTTAATTTTCATAAATAATATAATTGAAAATAATTTTAAATTTATTTTAATAAGATATTTAACAAATATAAGTATTTAATGGGGAGTGTTTAAGATGTTAGGATATGGGTGGGTAACAATTGAAAATTTTAACTAGGTATTTATTGGGTTTGTGCATCCTATTAAATAATAGAGTTCAAGTTAAAATAATTAAAAAAATTAACATATACTCTACCTGTTGATACTCCTATTTATGATTCTTTTTTCAAGTGTTTTTTTTTCTCAATCAAATTCTTGTGGAGAACTTCTCTTCTAATAAGAGATTAAACTATTAATTTTTTTATTAAAATATTATATTAATTTAAAAAAATTATGAAATATCACATGAAAAGAATTAAAATCTCGAAAAATGCAAGTGAAATGTATCTAATTATTTATCGTAAGTTTCAAATGTCATGGGAAGGATGCATTTCTGGCTTTGGTGGGATGAACCTGTCATGTTCCTTGAAAGAATTTCTGCTTGCGCAGGGAACATTGATTGATTGAGTCTTCACCTTTTGTTTTGTCTGATCCCATTTCAACCATACTGGCTGCTCTCTGTTTATATTAGGCAGGTCAAACAATGAAGGAGTTTCTGTTTCTTGAGTTATACTGTGTTGCACCACTACTGTTTGTTCAATGAAGCGGTGGAGGACGATGAAGAGAGGGGCAGGGCTGCGTTCCACCAGGGTCCAGAAAAATGACAGGTTTTATATTGCATGGGAGTTGGGGGTTAGGAGTTAGGTGTCCGGAGTAGTACGACACATATATATGATTTGTTTATTGTGATTAGACAATTGCCATACGGAATTGAAATGATGGCGTCATGTATTATGCAAACTCCCCTAAAAAGGGCTATCCTCTCCTGGACACGTCCATACGGATGGAAGACGACCACCAAAGGCAACACAAGCCTCACGACTTTCTCCTATGGGTTTGCCCAGTTTTGCAAATTTCCAGCCCAACTTGCTTCTGGCCAACACCAAGGCACCCCACCGACCACTCTTCTTTGACCTTGTTTAATCTTTGACTCCCATCTCACTGAATAGTTGAACCTTTTTGCCTCTGACTTTTTGTTTCTTCAACTTATATAGCCTCCACTTTCCATCGCCTTTCTTTAACCTTGGCTACACATTTTGTTCTCTTGCTTCTTCTCTGTCTTGTGTTTCGTGTGCTTTGGAAAAAACAATGAGTGCTGGTGCAGTAGAAGAAAGCATCAGGAAATACAAGGGCGTGCGTTGTCGAAGATGGGGGAAATGGGTGTCCGAAATCCGAGTTCCAGGCACCCAGGAACGCCTCTGGTTAGGCTCTTATTCAACCCCGGAGGGCGCTGCCATTGCACATGACATTGCTCACTATTGTCTGCGTCGACCCTCTTCGTTGAATGGTCTCAACTTTCCTTCCATGTTACCTCCGAACCTCAATGTTAACATGTCTCCCAAGTCTGTACAGAAAGCTGCATCGGATGCCGGCATGGCGGTGGATGCGCAGATGATCGTGATCAGCAATGAAACCAAGGCAAGTGAAAACAGTGGTGTGATCGTGGGGATGGAGACTGAGTCGTGGGAAAACGATAGCAGTGGATCGTGGGAAGGAAGTGTGGGAAAAGAAGGGGAGGCCTTGAGCATTTCCGTTGAAGATTATCTCTAGACAAGGCATGATCAGAAACATGCATGCTGCTTCCATGAATGATGCAATCATGCAGACAATTGTAGACACATATTTAGAAACTTAGAATGCGTAACACAATTAAGAACTGCCGATTTGCGGCCACTTCATTTAGTTTTAGACAAGTTTTCTACTGTATTTGGAACATGAGAGACAAGCCCCACCTGTGAGTGGGGTGGGTGACTGGGAGCTGTACCGTTCATTAAACAATATGAAACCTCAATTCATCATTGACTCTGAAACGTTTGACTGGATCCTAATGGACCTGGTAATTTAAGCAGCACCCTTTCGGCCGACCTGCTTTTTCCCCAAGGTGAATACCAGTAGGCACGTAGTCAACCAGACTTTTTGGTATTGACGCCTTTATTAGTATCCGGTTAGAAGTTTTAAACTACTTAAAAAATTTATATAAATTATTATTTTTTTATTATATTTAATCAGATTTTTAAAATTATATAAAAATAAATAAATTTTTATTTTTTTATTATTATGACTAATAGTTATTTAATTATCATTAATAAAAGAATTTTTTATTATTTTATATTTATATATTATTAATATGACAATTGATATAAAAAGTAAAATATAATTATATCATCATATTACAATAGTATACCACATCATTATATCTTATTAACCTCATATGATATAAAATAATAAATAATATTTTAATAAATAATTATTAATTAATAATTAATTATAAAAATTTATGTGTTTAAAGTAACACTATAAGAATTTGATCTAAGTAATAAAAGAATTAGTTTTGAATTTTTTTTAAATGGTTGAAGAATATTTTAAATATTATATCTAATTTCTTTTATATCTTCATAGATTTAATATAACCTTGAAACAAACCCAAAGTGGATTTCATTTAAAAAGGAGCAAGTAGAGAACAGATCATTGAGGTCAACCAAGCTCACGAGCATGGCACTTTCTGGAGAAAATAGGCCAAGCCCAAAGTTTATATTTCCTTACTGAACAAGTTGCAAATCAGGAGCCTCACTTACGTTTCCCCATTCAATGTCCCAGAAGGTTGAAAGTCAAAAGTAATCCATATCTATGGACAAGTAGACAACAAAACAAGGCAAGAACGAATTTCTAGAAGAAAGAAGGGTTTAATCGGGGTTGCTACAACTTGGTGTTCCTGTGACCAAGTAGAGGTTATATATGCATGGGTACAGGGAGAAGCTTCCCATCTGAAAGTGGCTTCACATATACAAACATTGCTGCTTTATGTATTGAAGTTATACTTAATTTGAATTGAATGAGGATAAGGAATCTATTATCTATTCTGAAGGGGGCTTAAGGGTTCTAATTAGTATACATTATTCTGCTTGATTATTGGCCAAGTTCCTGAACAGAACACTTATTCTTATCAAACATGTGCCAATGATTGGAAATCCAAAAGTAATGAACAAATTATCCGTACAAACAAAAAGGCAAGATAGTTCTAAAAGATGCAAGCTTTGCATACAGCTACTCCATCTTCTGCTGCAGCTGGGAGAAAGTTATGGGACCAGTAGGAAGCTTCATAGGAAAGGTACTCTCCGATACGTATCTGGCAGCGCCTTTCGGTAGCTGTCTCCCAACGCCCATCATGGAAGTTCTCCTCGTACCATGAACTGAGAGGAGAAGTCGAAGAATCCAGTTAAGTACATTGGGTGCAAAAGTCCTATAGAGGAGGAAAGTGTCATGCCAACTGGGGTACTTCACATAAGCATTCCCCCGGCAAGCCCCTGATACGATCAGCCTGGCAAACTCTTCCACTGCCCCACCACTAACTGCTAGCTGTAACAAAGTTATTTAGATCACTGCCCAATTTGTAACAATGTCCTACACCTACACTCACAAGTCAGAGCAGATATATCATTCTGATAGATTGTTGTTGGAACTGTAGTTAGGCATCAACTACTCGAAGATGATTGGCTTCATGTTTATCATTTGGTTGTTTTGAATTTTAAGTTCTGAAATAATGGAACAGATAACCTGATAATACAAGTTTTCTTCCAGACTACTTTATTCAGAACGTGTTCAGCACTCAGGACAGTGGATTCAAGTATGGCAGCTAATTTAATACTGAGAAGACTCTTATGGTTAATATACTAGTCTTGGAGAAACACCTGGTCAATTGGGCTTAAATTTCTCCACAGCCACAAGATTTTCACGGGTTCAACTACTCTTTCTCTTTCTCCTTCCCTAACTTACACTCTACTACGACCCCCACGTTTCTTTTTCTCCCTCTCCTTTTCAAACCGAGCAATGCTTCGATTCCCACTCTATTTTCACTAAATTCTACATTGCTGATATCTATTTGAACATTGCCTTCGACACAATGAATTCGTCATCACAGTTCGGTCTTGAGTTATGTGTCAACAATCAGCTATGACTTTAGGTGTAAAGAATTATAAAAAAAAATATGTTTGTTATTCTTACTTCCATAGTTGGGGAGACACAGATTTCAGAATCTTCATCGAGGTCTGGACATAATGATATAGGTTTATTTCCTTTTAACTTTTGTTTCGGTATGAGTTCAATCCGAACAATCGAGCAGGAAACTTTGGTATCTATAAGTATGTTACAATTTATATGAACTTCCGAAATACTAAAGTCGATGTGCAAGAGACCGTGTATGTTTATTGAGGAATAATTCAATCTCGAAAATGAACAGTTTGTTAAGAGATATTGCAGCTATTCGAGACTTACTTCTCGTCCTTCTTTCCACTGCATCTCTGCTCCCTCTTCTAGCATAAGCTTTCCTCCTGTCATTTCACCTCCGATCCAACCATGTGTTGCGATTGTTATTCCAACCTCGTTAGTTACTTCTAACCTGAGAGTCTCGTAGAAATTTACGAGTGCAGCTTTCGCAGCCTAGCACAGTTGAAAGGAAAGGGTTGGAGTGGTACATAAAAGCACACAAATAGTCTACTTCATTGTTTTTATATACTAAGAAAACAATTATTCATGTAAGAATTAAGGAAAAAAGGCAGAGCATGAGGAAAACCATGAATGAATTAGAGTTGAACGAATGCATCGATTACTTGATTTGTCTTCCTGCATAAAACTTAAATAGTTCATGAGAATTGAAATGGCATTGGCATCCAATGAAATGTTCGTGCAAATGTATCTGTCCATTGCATTGTCAGCTATAGCAGTCTGTATACCAAAGACCATAGCTATGGAAGTTTTGATTCCAAGTTTTATGAATCTTCCGAGAACTATGGGTCAATATGAGTTTGGTATCTTGCATCTTATCCTAACAAAATTATTAGAATTTGAAATTTGCATCTGAATGCTACAGGAAACAGAATCAACTTGTCCACAAGCTAAAACAATAATAATGCAGAGCTAAATCTACATATACTCACAGCATACAAACTCATTCTTGGCAATGGTAACCAGTTCTCAACTGATGCATTCACGATGATTCGGCCGTTGCTTTGATGTAGGTGCGGAAGAGCAACAAATGTTGGATAAACATTACCCCAGAAGTTTATGTCCTGAGAGTTAGTAGATCGATACTAAGGTATTGTATTACTGCTAAGAAATTTAACAAGACTGCAAAATCTGTAATAGTAGATCAGAAAGGAACTCAAAACCATGGCAAAAAAAAAAAAAAAAAGAAAAAACCACCTCCTCAAGATTATACTCATGTGACCTATGAACCTTACCAACAGATGGGGAAACACTGAGGTGTCTGTAACTTCCTCAAAGTAGAATGTATGTCCCAAACTCACAGCATTCACCAGATGATCCACTGTGAGATTGGATAAGAAGTCAGAAGTAAAAGAGAAGGAAACTTCTTAATAGCATCACTTTGAACATAAAGAATCTTAAGTTACTGTTACATGTGTTCTGTAAATCCTGATTTAGATCACAAAACCAAAGGTCCTTTTGAAAAGGGGAAAGATAGGCTTTTATGCAACATGTACACATAATGCACAGACATATAGGTGCAAAATAAGAGTATTGAGTATAGAACTTGGCAGCAATTATTCACTAAATTTAAGGAGGACATGAATTTGGTAGAACAAATGAACATTCCTTCACACAAATGGTGAAATTAATTGCCTTTAGCCAGTCATCAAACTCAATAGAAAATGGGACTTACCACGGCCATAGAAGTTTATGGTTTCCTTAACAAATCTCCTACAATCATCTTCCTTCACAACGTCTGCAGCAATTATGATGACATTCTTTGCACCGATATGTCTTGCTTTCTCACTGATGCCTCGAAGTCGATGTTCTCTCCTGGCAACCAACACAAGGTTCGCCCTCCTCCTCGCATATTCATATGCAATTTGCTGCAGTTAGAAGTCACCATTTTTGTAACAAATTAAGCAGTACTCCCATGATTTTGGTCTTGGTGATGATAGGGATGAAGTAGGCATAACTTAAGGCATAAAACACTCACTATGCATCCAGAAAATTGGGGAGGAATACACAGCTATAACACTGTTGATGAACTAGCTACAGACTGATAAGGTGACAAAGGAATACATGCACCTAATATTGATATCAACCCAGCATTTGGTTCAATTGTTGGTGCAAGCTTCCAATGCCAAAAGAAGAAATTAAGGAGAGGTTTAACATATAATTACCTCTCCAATGCCAGAAGAAGCACCAGTGATTATAACCACTTTGTCTTGGATACTATTCTCTGTGTACAAGGTGTTATAAAGCCATTCACATGCACGGATAAAGCACAAGGCTGGCCATGCAAAGACCAGAATCACCATGCTTGCAGGTGGCACCATCAAATTCAGAAAAGAGTCGATCAAATCCATCATGTCCACCACTCCACCAGTATCAATGTTGAATATAGACGACTTAATTGGAAAGAAAGATTGGTAACTGAAGAAGAAATGAAAAGCAATGATGAGTGATAAGATGAACACCGCAACTTTTACATGCAGTAAGCGTAGAGAAAACACGTGTTGTGTACGTGACATGGGTGACTAGCTACTGGTGAGACAAATGGAAGGGGGTTTTGGATTGTTGTTGTTGCATTACATTCAGCAGAACCAAGGCTGCTTTTGTTCTTTTGTGGTAACAAAACCCACTCGTGAATCTTTGGGTATTTGGAGGATTCCATGGAAGCAGAAAACAGGGGACCAAGCTGCCAAAAAACAGGCAGCACCGTATATAAGGATCCAACAAAACCACCTCCATAAATGCACTCCTCTAAAATCATACACATGAACATGATTGCTAGGTTTAACATGTTCTGAGTTGTCAACTTTTTGCAATACTAGTTCTTATTGATATTTCTTACTATTGAAGCAAGTTCTTATTGATGATCTACACAAATGATTATCACTTCTAAGGATCATTTAGCATATATGATAATGGGTAATATATATAAGCGATAGAGTGGTGTCATCTCTTAAATCCTTCAAAGACAGTTGCAAAGTAAGGGTTGTAGTTACTTTCTTGGCAATTTTGTATATGATAGGACAATAAGATATGAATATAATACGGATTTAAATAGATTTGGGTTTAAGTAAATTATATTTTATATATTAATTATGTTAATACGGTTAAAATATGAATAAATCGTATTTTAATCGTATCAAATCTGCTTGAGCCGTTTAAGACTTTTCTGAGACATAATTAGTTAATAGTGTTATCAAGTATTCATATAACTCGTAATTTTTTATTTATTTATTTATTTAATTGTGTTCATATGTCGTATAGATACATTTTATAAACAATTATAATTTGATTAATATAAATACTAATATTGTTATAATAGTTCAAATTTATTGATATTAAATTTTATTACATTTGATAAATATTATAATATTTATAATTTTTTATTATAAATTTGAATAATATAATTGTATTTAATTATAAATATTTTAATTTAATCTTTTTTATTGTATTAATCATGCAAACAAGTTGTGTCTATTTTAATTGTGTTAATTATATTGGATCATATAAAATTTACCTTGATACATTTAATAAATATATTAATCTAGTCAAAGTTATACACGTTTATTAAACGTATTTATATATATATTAAAATTTTAATATAAATAAATATAAATACAATATAATTAATTAATCGTATTATGTTTATATTTCCTCATATAATTATTAATATCTTATATTTATATGAGATGATTTGAAGGCGTCAAATTTATTTATTATTCTTTATCAGCTCCAAATTATAGGTAGTATAATTATAATTTCTTTATTATTTTGCATTCCACGAACGGAATTAAAATACATATATCAATATAACATAAAGTAATATTTTCATTTATATATATATATATATATTTGCAGCTAATCATTACAAACTATTTTCAATTGGAGTAGAATTTGGCGGCAATTATAAATTCATAGGATGGGAGAGGAGAAAGTGGATATGGGTCTCCATAACTGGAAACTCAGGTGTCATCCTCTGGTAGGTGGCGCAACATGGACCCACCACCATCACCACCACCACTTGGTACTGCACTGCACGTCTGGACTTTGCTCAACGCTTGAGTCGAAGATTTTTCTTTGTGTTTTCTTCAGTTAGTTTTCCCTCCACCTAGGGAGAGTAACAAACAAACATGATCAAACTTGGGAGAGTGAAAAACTGAGACAGGAAACCACAGAGAAACAAGAAACTGCACTACTGACTCTCTCTCTCTGTGTCTGTCATATCCCAAAAAAATCTTTGGTTTCTCGCAATTGTAGGAGCCCTTCTCACAAAACCGCCTGCATTTCTTTCTATTCCTCTCTCACCCACTTTCTGTTTTCTTGGTTTTTTTCTTTTAATCTTTGGGTTTTCAACAATGTCCTCCCTGTCCTTCATTCTCCATTCTGTTCCAGGATAAACAAATATCTTCCATTTTTTGCTCTTCCAGCATTGAAAAAGTTTTCTTTCTCTTACAGCTTGTTCCTTTTCTTTCTTTAGATAGCTTTTGTGTTCATTCCTGGGATTTTTGCTCTGGCTTTTCATTCTTTTCCTCAGGCATTTGAAACTTCAGTTTCTCTCTACCACCCGTTTTCTCATTTGTCTTCCAACATTAGATATTTGTAACCAAGTTTTAATTTTTTACCCTTCGGATCATTCTCCAATTTCTCAGATTTTGATTGGTACTAATTTGGATTGGGGGTGTTTCATATAGAAAAGAAAAGTCACAAATTTGATTTTCAAGAAAGGGCTATCAATGCATGGTGGGACTGAGAATGGTTGATTAACAATCTTGTGAGGTTGGGATTTGAAAAAGAATGGTGGAGCTGGGAATCCCAGGATTTATTCAGGGTTTCCCCTTTGTTTAATGCATGGTGGTCTTTTGCACATATTTGGAGCATAGCTATTTCCAAAAACAAAGAGATTGTTGAGGAGAGATTATGGGCTGCATTTGCTCAAAAGGAGCCTCAGAAGAGAATGTTAACGAGATAAATGACAACGAGAAAGACTTCAACAGCAACAGCAACAAGGCATCAGTGCAACTGGTGGCTCCTGCACCCTCAAAGAAAGAAGAGCTTTCAGTTGGCAGAGGTGGCAATGATGGCTCCGTTAGGCGTCTTGCATCCAAAACGTTTATCGTCGAAAGGCCCCAAAGTGGTCATCAAAGATTGTCGTCAGTGGATATGGGGGCAGGGGTGTTCCCACAGATAGTTCGTATAGTTAGCACCCCTCGTGGGGCTGAAGGGGAGCTAGTTGCTGCCGGATGGCCATCATGGTTAGCTTCAGTTGCAGGAGAAGCAGTTAAAGGATGGCTGCCTCGGCGGGTAGAATCTTTTGAGAAGTTAGATAAAGTAATTAGTCCTCATCACATGCCTCTTTATAATCAGTTCAATTTTGCTTTTTCTGGACTTTAATTTGGTTCTTATCTAGTGAGATCAGATCAACCATCTTGAGCTTTGTAGTTTCTTCATGGCATTTGAGGTTCTTTTGCAGCTTCATACATAAATATCATAGTTATATTAAGGCTTTTATGTTCATTCTTCTGATGACTTGCATGTTCATTCATCTCAGAGACATTAATGTGCCCTGATATTCAGCTTCATGAATACTAGTTGAGTAATTTATGAAAGATGAGAATACAGGAAAGTTTTCGTATGCTGCAGGCGTGAATAATTGGATTACTGTTTCTCTTTGAAAGTGCTAAATACGTTGAAGTGATGGGCTGGGAAATTCTCTGGTGCAATGCTAAGAAGTTGCATATTGTCAGCATGTTTTGGTACTGATCAGTTACAGATGAGCATCTTAATGCATGTATTCATGTTAGTTAAATATCAGGAACAAAAAAACCTTTATCAATCTGACTTTGCTCTCCTAAACTTCCTCACATGATTCTATATACAGATCTGTAGAGTCGTTGATATACATACGTTTCAAATTAATTCCTCTCTCCTTTTGTTTTGAATTCTATTATGTCCATCCAATTTTAAGTGCAACAATTGACATATTACAAGGGCTTCATTCTTGCTGATTAGCTGATGAATACAAATGATGCATCACAGTATCTGTTGGTAGAGCATAGCATCTGATGCCAGTTGATAATGGGATAGTGTCAGTTTTTTAGAAGTTTTGCTTTTGTATGTTCAAATCATCTTTGTTTCTGCAAATTGTTTTTAGGTTCATGTATAACTGTTAGAGCACATATCTTGGCTTCTCTTGTTTGCTACAAATTTGTACCATCTAAATGTTAAACTAGCTGGGGCTTTACATGATTTTTGTGGCCTTGCTGATGTAGTAAGTTGTGTGTGCAGGTTGGACAAGGAACTTATAGCAGTGTATATAAGGCCCGTGACCTTGAAACTGGAAAATATGTTGCCATGAAGAAGGTTCGGTTTGTTAATATGGATGCAGAAAGTGTCCGTTTTATGGCTAGGGAAATCATTATTTTACGGAAGCTTGACCATCCAAATGTTATGAAGCTTGAGGGTCTAGTCACTTCAAGGATGTCCGGCAGCTTGTACCTTGTTTTTGAATACATGGAACATGACCTTGCTGGGCTTGCAGCAACTCCTGGCATCAAGTTTACAGAACCACAGGTACCTGCTTCTCTTTTTTTT